TTTTCCTATTATTCACATCTTGCATTAGTGTCCTGCATTTGTTACAATGAATGAGCCAATATTGATACATTTACTATTAACTGAAGTTCATAGTTTACATTAAGCTCACTCTTGTCGTATGGTTCTGTAGGCTTTGACAGATGCATAATGTCACGTATCCACCATTATAGTATCAAACAAAATAGTTTTGCTGCCCTAAAAATCTCACTTAACCATCTAGTGGTTTCCATTATTGTTTTAAATAATACGGTTACATTCTCTTTATTAGTTCATTAACTCTAGATTACATTTATTGATTCCCCATAATGAGAGAAGGGGAAACTATTGCATTATCCTTTCCACCTCCCAGTTTTTGTAAGGTACATTGCCACTTCATTTTCTCATTGTTATTATTTGTTGAGGTCCTACAGTGTATTAGGTAACGTTCCAGGGGCTAGAGCCACAGGGGTAAAAATGAAATAGATAAAACTCCCTGCTAGCATAGAGCCTGCGTGTAGAAGAAATAGACAATTAAAAAAATAGAGAGAGTTGTGGATGCTAATATGTGCCATAGAGAAAAACGGAGCAGGGAGGGGATATAATATGTGTATCTATGTCTGTGGGAGGGGGTGGTGGCTTTAAACAGGGTGTTGGGGGAAGACCCCACTGAGACGGTAATATCTGATCAGAGCTGAGTGAGTTGAAGAAATGAACCATGTGGTGATCTGAGGAAGAGGATTCCAGGCAGTCAGGACAGCAGGTGCAAAGGCCCTGAGGAGGGAGAGTTGCCAAGTTCAAGGGATGATGAGGACTGTGGCTGGAGCCAGGGAGAGAGGAAAGTGTAGGAGGTCAGGTCAGAGAGAGAAGGCCAGGTCTCAGAGGGCCTGCAGGCAGCATCAGTGACTTTGGCTTTACTCAGAATGAGATGAGAAGGTTCTGGTGGCTTTTGAGCAAAGGAGTGATATCATCCTTAGTTTTAAAGTTTTTGTGGTGTTAACGTACATTTTGTTTTGTTAATAAATTGCCTTCGATGCTTTTCTTTAGATTAAGTCTAACAATTTATGATCACCAAACAGAATTTATATAAGATTAATAGCCAGGTGCGATGTCTCACACCTGTAATCCCAGCACTTTGGGATTACAAAGTAATTCCCCATAATGAGAGAAGGGGAAACTATTGCATTATCCTTTCCACCTCCCAGTTTTTGTCAGGTGCATTGCTGAGCCTGGTGGATTGCCTGAGGTCAGGAGTTCGAGACTAGCCTGGCCAACATAGTGAAACCGTGTCTCTACTAAAAATACAAAAAATTAGCCGAGCATGGTGACGGGCACCTGTAGTCCCAGCTACTAGGGAGGCTGAAGCAGGAGAATCGCCTGAACCCAGGAGGTGGAAGTTGCAGTGAACCGAGATTGCGCATTGCACTCTAGCCTAGGCAACAAAAGCGAAATTCCATCTCAAAGAAAAAAAAAAAAGATTAAGTAAATATAGAAAACAAAACAAAAGCGAGGTTACTTTTTGCATCTCTCTGGGTCTCCTTCTTCCCTCTGTCCTACCTTATTCTCATCTTTCTTTTCACCTTGTTCTGGGTAGCCACCCAGAGGGAGCCGTTCTCTACTTGGACTTCCTCCTTCTCACACAGGTGTGGAGGTGGGGTGGCTCAGCCCGAGCTAGAACCATTTCCAGCATATTCTTCCCTGGGGCCATTTTGCAGTCTAGCCTGTTCCATCTGGACTTAGATTTATTGACAGTGCAGATCAGCTTTCCCTTTGGGGTGAGTAGAGGGAGGAGCCAGCTCTGGGCTGCTATCAGGGGACATTCTGTCCATCAGCCCCATGTGGAGTTAACAAGTCAGTAAGAATTGAGTAAGTGTCTCTAGGGCCCAGCACTGCTCCAGCCCAGTGCCCCATGAAGGTTAAGTTAGAGCTCCTGTTCCGTGGGAAGGGTAGGGTTACCCTAGCAGGGAGGGAGCAGCAGCACCAGCCCTCTCTGCTCTCTGCTCCCCTGGCTTTTGAGTGCTTCTTGATCCTTCTGATGGCCCAAATAATCCAGCCTGGGCCTGAGCCTCTCCGAGATGTGGCTACCAGGCAAGATGCCAGCTCTGGGGAAAGAGTCAGAATGAGTCATTTCCCCTAGTCCCAGAGGTTATGAGGCTGGAAGACAGGACTCCAGGTTCCAAGGACCGATTCAGGCCTCCAGGAAGACATGGTGCTGTTGGGAACCAGATGTTTAGTTGATGAAGACCTTTCCAGCAGTAGAGTATGTCTTGCTAACTTTCTTCCAATGGCCCCTCTTTATCTGCTCACTCTTGCTATCCAATATTCCTTCTCCTATGTCCAAAAGCCTGGCCCCTCTCCACTCAGTAAGCTCAAGAGAAAAGTATGGGTGTCTGGGTCATTTCTAAAGGAACTGTGTGGACTCAGATGTTCATGTATAGGCAGTGTGGGTATGTATCATCAAACGATCCTGGGCCCTGTTAGCCAGTATGCATTCTCATCCAGGTTTTGCCATTTACAAAGCCATGTGACCCCGTTTACATTACCTGACCTCTCTGGGTCCCATTTTTCTCATCAGTAAAATACACACAATGACAATAACACCTGTCTATCATGAGCATCTAAAACACGTGAGAGGGCTCTGTAAACTTTCAAAGCCTATACAGCAGTGAATTGACCTGGAGCTGGAAAGAGCATGAATGAGTCTCAGGGCCAGTTCGGGGAGAAGAGGAACTGGTAGAGAGAAAACAGAATTAGGGGCCAGGCGCAGTGGCTTTCGCCTGTAATCCCAGCACTTTGGGAGGCTGAGGCGGGCAGATCACCTGAGGTCAGTTCAAGACCAGCCTGGCCAACAGGGTGAAACCCCATCACTAAAAACAAAACAAAACAAAAAAATTCACAGGGACAGAGCCTGGTCTACGGCCCTGTTTCCTCAGGGAGAGAACTTTGGATCATGGCAGCACTGTGCCAGGTTGTGCACCCAGGAGACCCCTGTGGGTGGCAGGGAGGAGCCATAGGAGTGCAGGGCTGGCAGGCAGGCTGAGACCCTGGGGGAGGTGCTCACTCCCTGTTCCAGGGGACAGGTAGAGATAGGTCCGGCTATCCCTGCCCAGGCTGGAGTGCAATGGCACGCCCAGGCAGGGCCATGGCCACCTTAAGCTCCCTCCCCTGCTGCCCTCTGGGCCTCAGGAGACATCTATCTTTGTCTCTTCTTTTATGCCACTATCTACTCCCGCTCCTGGAGGGGCATTCTGGGAGTTAGGAGTTAATTTTCACACGTGAGTGTGTGTGTATATAAAGAGCTGTGGATGAGACACTGACAGGTCCCTTCTCTCATCCCCTAACTTTGGGGCTGCAGAGGAGGGCACTCCTACCCCCACAACAGGACCCTCCCTGCGTCCGTTAGGCTCTGCTCTTCGGGTAGGAGGATGGCAACACCGGGTGTAAGTACAAAGAGGTCTTATTCCTGTCATTATTACATATCATTAGCCCCTAAGAATCTATCATTAACATGTTGGTGAAGAGGCCCTTAAGAAACTGTGGGCCTGGAGGAACTGACCAAGAGGGGACAGAATAAGGACCTAGGAGAGCCCTCTTCCCCGTGCCTGGCATCTCAGGGTCCCCTCATTCTCGAAAGGGAAGAAAAGTAGGGAGAGGGAAGGAAGAATATTTATTGAGACTCAGAGTTGCCAGGCCCTGTCTTTGGTCTTTCACAAATGTTATCTAACTTATTCATTAGGAAAACCCCATGAGATGAGAATAATTAATAATTCGATGGATGAGGAAATTGAGGAAGGTCAGTAAAGTTGCCCCAGGTGGGTAGGACACATTAATCAAGAGAGAAGAGGTTTGAACTTAACTCTGCAAAGCTCTGTATTTACACAATATTCTAGACAGAACCGAAAGAGACCTCTCCTTCCAGGTTCCCCTCCAGCTCTGCATCCGGTAGAAGTCCATTCTAGGAGGAGGCCAAGGGAGGACAGAGTCTTCGGAGCAGGGCCAGGTGCGGTGGGTCACGCCCTTAGACCCAGCACTTTGTGAGGCCGAGGTGGGCAGATCATGATGTCAAGAGATCGAGACCATCCTGGCCAATATGATGAAACCCTGTTGCTACTAAAAACACAAAAATTAGCTGGGCGTGGTGGCACACGCCTGTAGTCCCAGCTCCTGGGGAGGCTGAGGCAGGAGAATCGCTTGAACCCGGGAGGCGGAGGTTGCAGTGAGCCGAGATCGCTCCACTGCACCCCAGCCTGGAGACAGAGGGAGACTCCATCCCTGCCAAAAAAAAAAAAAAAAAATCTGCGGAGCAGAAGCAAGGTTGGAGCTTTGCTCACACCTGGGACTGCTGTGCCATGGGTCCAGCGTCGGCCTCTGCAAGTATGTGCGGTGGAGAGGACCGCAGACAGTGGCACCCCCAGGTCACGGAGGGGTTCCCTCCTCCCCCACTTCGAGGAGGCCATGAATGACCTCAAGGCTCAGCTCTCCTTTGTTGGCACTAGCTACTCTCTACAGGCCTGTCCCCGCAGCGCATGAAGGTAGGAATACGAGCAGGTGAATCGTGTGGACAGCCTCTCTTGGGTCCTGAACAGAGAAATCGGCCGATGGAGGAGGAACCCAACATAGGCTAGATGCAGAGGCTGGAGGCCCCTGCAAAGTAGCCAGCAGCTGTCTGACGCCTAACGTGCAACTGGTGCCATAGCGCGATCGCCAAGCCAGCCACCCACTGCCTGGCAGTACCCTCTCCAATCTAGGAGACGCGCCTTCCCCCTCCCTTCCCCGCCATCCCCCGCTTCATTCAGGGCTTGGGGGAGCCGCGGTTCCGAGAAGTGGCAGACCGGCAGCCAGAAGCCTTGGGCTGTTGAGTAAGAAGCCCCCTCTTGGTCCCAGCCTTCCCAGCCCGGCGCTCTGCGCCTCCAGTGAGTGACAGAGCCTCCGCTGCGGCCCCGCCCCCGGGGCCCGGCCCGAGCTGTGCGCGGAGCGGAGGGGAGGGCCGGCCGGGGCGGGGAGGGCCGGCCGGGGCGGGGAGGGCCGGCCGGGGCAGGAATGCGCGGAGGGCGGGCGGCGCAGAAGGCGAGCGGCGGAACATGTAAGGGCACATCCCGCGAGCTGCCGCTCTGCGCTCAGACAGAGCCCACGGGAGCTACAGAACAGGCGCGCTGCGGGCCTCAGGGGCTAGGGAGAGGCGGAGGCTCCCGGCAGAGGCGGGTCGGGCGGAGGAGCCAGTGCCAGCTGAAGCGGGGCTGTGGGCGCGGCGTGCGCGGGGGACGCCGACATCACCTCCCCGGCAGCGGGGTGCTGAGGGCCGCGGTGCGGGCGCGCGGGGCAGTCAGGGGGCAGGTGAGCACCGCGCACGGCCAGCCAGCCCCAGGCGCCAGAATCCGACGCTGCGGGGCCGAGAAGGGCCCCGCGACCGCCGCAGCCTGCAGCTGTCCGTGAACCTCGGGGCGCCCATGACGGCGGCGGCGACGGCCACGGTGCTCAAGGAGGGCGTGTTGGAGAAGCGCAGCGGCGGGCTGCTGCAGCTGTGGAAGCGGAAGCGCTGCGTGCTCACCGAGCGTGGGCTGCAGCTCTTCGAGGCCAAGGGCACGGGCGGCCGGCCCAAGGAGCTCAGCTTCGCCCGCATCAAGGCCGTGGAGTGCGTGGAGAGCACCGGGCGCCACATCTACTTCACGCTGGTGACGGAAGGCGGCGGCGAGATCGACTTCCGCTGCCCCCTGGAAGACCCCGGCTGGAACGCCCAGATCACCCTAGGCCTGGTCAAGTTCAAGAACCAGCAGGCCATCCAGACAGTGCGGGCCCGGCAGAGCCTCGGGACTGGGACCCTTGTGTCCTAAACCACCGGACGCACCATCTTACCTTCATGCTACTCACCACCTCGGTGCTGAGGTCATGGCAGGTAAGCCCCCGGGAGACTGGGCCCTCTCATCTCCTTCTCTCGGTTCTCTTCTTTCCCCTACAGAGAGAATGAGAACCAGCATTCTACTTCACAGTCGGACGGTCTTAGGGGAGGTTACTGGGGCCAGCAGAGGGCATGGGATACCTGGGCCAGCGGCCAACCCAGCAGATCCGGACTTTCCCCCGGGGCGCCAGGCCGGCGGGTCCTGAATGTGACCCAGGTGCCTCAGATGAAGATGGAAGCCCTGGGAGGGGGACTCCTGGGTGAGGTGAGCCTTCCCACAGGTTGGTTCAGCCCTGACTCAGGTGGAAGGAAGTAGAGGGAGTCTGGCCTGCAGGTTACCCCAGGCTGTGGGCCTCTGCATTCCATGAAGAGCAGGGCTTCTGGGCTTCAGCTTTCTGGCAGCTGGGGACAACCGAGGTTGGGAACGTGGAAGTAGAGACAGACCCTCTTTCCTCTAGGTTAAATGCTTTAATGCTTGTTATAAAGTTTGAACACTGAATTGATGCAGAAAGACTGTATCCCCCAGTTAGTGAAGGCACCATCAAGGGTTTCGAATAGAGCCAAGGGGTCCAGCTCCCAAGGTGGGGCCTCAGTGGGCTGGCTTGGCTGGACTGGGCCTGAGGGATCCAGCTCCTCCTACACACACACATATATGTGTATGTGTGTGTGTGTGTTGTTTGTTTTGTTTGGTTGGGTTTTTTTGGTTCCGAGACAGAGTCTCGCTCTGTCACCCAGGCTGGAGTGCAGTGGCACAATCTTGCCTCACTGCAGCCTCCACCTTTTGGGCTCAAGCGAATCTCCTGCTTCAGCCTCCCCAGTAGCTGGGATTACAGGTGCCCACCACCACGACCTGCTAATTTTTGTATTTTTAGTAGAGACGGAGTTTTGCCACGTTGGCCAGGCTGGTCTTGAACTCCCGACCTCAGGTGATCTGGCTGCCTTAGCCTCCCAAAGTGCTGGGATTACAGGCATGAGCCACTGTGCCTGGCGTGTGTGTGTGTGTGTGTGTGTGTGTGTGTGTGTGTGTGTGTGAGTATTCTCTACCTGTTGCCCAGGCTGGTTTAGTGGCACAGTCATGGCTCACTGCAGCCTCAAAAGCTTCAACCTCATGGGCTCAAGCAATCCTTCCACCTCAGCCTCCAGGTAGCTGGGACTACAGGCACACGCCACCAAGCCCGGCTCATTTTTTTTTTTTTGTAGAGTTGGGGTTTCCCCATGTTGCCCAGGCTGGTTTCGAACTCCTGAGCTCAAGCAATCTGCCCTTGGCTTCCCAAAGTGCTAGGATTACAGGCGTGAGCCACTGCACCTGGTCCCCATTCTTGTCAGTGGGTTTTGGGCCCTAGGGCTCACTGTTGGGAGAGCAAGGGAGCTGGAGGAAGGGCAACTGCACCAGAGGCTAGGCCACTGATGCCAAGGGCCGGGGGTGGTGGGGTGGCATGGGCCTGTCTACCTCCCTGAGTGCCAGTCAGGCGTGGCTGGGCCAGAGGAGGAGAAGCTGGAGGAGGGCATGGGACACCGGGGCAGGGTGGGCGGGTACAGGATGGGGTCATGAGTTGTTATTTGTGCTGTGTTAATCCTCCATGAGCAGTAGGGCAGGGAGTGGGGGGCAGTTTTGTGGTCAGGAAGGCCCGGGGAGGGGCCAGTAATAGAACCTAGAAGCCCTGGCTCTCAGCCCTGTGCCCTCTTCCCCGGATGCCACTCCCTTCTTGTGAGAACTAGGAGCAGGGTAAGGAAGGATTTAGCCTGCCTTCTAGCCTTAATTTTTCCAGTGGAAACCTAGATCCCCTCTCCCCACTATCACCTTCCAGGTGACGTCACCCGCCTGCAGGCATCTTTAGAGTCCTAGTGAGCCTGGGACCACCTCTAGTGCCATAACCCACTTAGATGGTCCTGTTACTGCCCTCCCACATTGTAGTGAGTGTTAGCTGAGAAGTGGGGTATAAGGCAGACACCCTGTGCTGAGGATTGATCCACACTGATCCCTCAGGCTTTGGGGGCCTGGGAGGAAGCAGATTCCCCTGGCCACAGTACATGTGCAAAAAATGTTTCCCACGTTTATGGAAAAGGCTGGGAAGCGCTGGTGTAAAATGCCCAGCTCATAACAGATACTCCTTTCTCCAGTGTTGCCCTGCTCTGACTGCTGTTCTTTCTTGCCAGCTTCGTTGTTTCCTCTGCTTGTGGGGGCACGACTCTGCTCCATGCGGCGAGGTGGAAGGCATGGACGTGTGGAGGAGGCACTGGAGCTGAAGGAATGGACAGGCCCTGGGAGGAGGGCAGAAGCCTATGCAGGGCTGAGGATGAAGAGTCAGCCCCTGGATGCTCCCAGCCTCTCAGGACATGCCTAGCTCAGGGGCTTTGAGCCACAGGCCTGGCCTCATATGGCATGAGGGGGAGCTGGCATCGGACCCCCTCCCTGCTGTGGTCCTGCCCTCTGTCCTGCAGACTGCTCTTAGCCCCCTGCCTCTGTGCCAGGCCTGGAGGAGGGCAGTCCCCCATGGGGTGCTGAGCCAATGCCTCAGGAATCAGGAGGACAGGCTGGTACCCACGCTCACTTTAGAATGGCCTCTGGACTCACCTTGAGAAGGGGGAGCTGCTGGGCCTAAAGCCCACTCCTGGGGGTCTCCTGCTGCTTAGGTCCTTTTGGGACCCCCACCCATCCAGGCCCTCTCTTTGCACACTTCTTCCTGCACCTCTACCCATCTTCCCCCCACTGCGGTGTTAGGCCTGGAGGTGGTGGGGGTGAGGTGGGGGTTTGGCCACTACCATTTCATGCCTTTCCCTAAATGAAGATGCCCTGCAAAGGGCAGTAACCCCAAAGTTTGCTGAGTGAAATTATTTGCCCACAAAGCCCCAGGGCTTGGAGCATCTCTCTCTTCAACCCTGTTCTCCCAGTTCACAACCCATTCTGAAATCTCTAGCCTGGATAGGCAGAGACGCTACAACCCCAGTAGACAGGGCCTCAGTGGTCTTAGGAAGGAGTGCACATGGATTCTGGACCAAGGAATGTCAAGCTGGTTGGTTCAGTCCCTATAGGTGTCTCTTCTACAGGAGGCTACCCTTCCCTGGCTACCCTGGGAGAAGCCTCAGCTGCCTGGGCAAAGCTTGCCTCCCTGTCATTTATACTCTCAGGCTTTATACATTTACATGGTAAGTTTTCTCTCCTGGAAGGTTAAAAGGAGTAATTTAAACAGGGTGAAGGTCTGGGGCAGTGGCTCATGCCTGTAATCCCAGCACTTTAGGAGGCCAAGGTGGGCAGACCAACTGAGGTCAGGAATTTGAGACCAGCCTGGCCAACTTGATAAAACCCCGTCTCTACTGAAGACGCAAAAATTAGCTGGGCGTGGTGGCGCATGCACACCTGTAGTTCCAGCCACTAGTGAGGCTGTGGCGGGAGAATCGCTTGAACCTGGGAGGCAGAGGTAGCAGTAAGCCGAAGCTGCATCACTGCACTCCAGCCTAGGTGACAAAGCATGGAGATTCAGTCTCAAAATAAAACAAAAAAACTGGGGAAAACAGGAACAGACAATAGCTGCCCAGGGTCGTATGGAAACTACTGATTGGGTGACCCTGGGCCTCTCCAGGCTGTGGCCAGCGGGTGACTCTGCCTGCCTTTCCTCCATTACTCCCACATCTGACCTTCCCTGTTGCAAAGCAGTGGCCTACTTCAGAGTCTTTGCAGGGAGCAAGGAGGCTGCGTGGCCCCCTTCAGCAATCAAAGTCTCTTTAATTGTTTTGTGCTCCAGCCTGTTTTGTTCCCCTTCGGATTCCTCCTGCCTTCCAATCAAAACTTCCCTGTCCTGTGTCCCAGTCAGTCCCTCAGAGTCCACAAGATAGGCATCTTGCTCATCTAATGTGTCATCTGCATTGCACAGTTGAATAAGAATTTGTAAATTACAACAGAACTTTTATAAATATTTCACTTCTTATTGTATCCAATGGTACAATTGTCCATGAGTGGCTTAATCGCACCATGGCAAATAAGCATCTTTTCATGCAACCCAGATCAAGACTCAATTAGAATGCTGTAATCAATTGGTGGTGCCTGCCATGGGCTTGGGGAGAAAGATGGGGAGAACGGCGGCATTATCGGGGAGGTGGGCCTGGTTGGAAAGAATAGGGCTGCCACTCCTCCCTTGATTGAGCTTTATTAATGGAAGAGATTCGTTTCTTCATTCTATAAAACAGCAGCTTCTAAAATAGAATCTTTGCTTTTCAGTCAAACCCAAGGGTAACTGATGGTGGAGGGTTCAGGTACTCAGAAATAGGGGAGTGGGCTGGGTGTGGTGGTTGATGCCTGTATTGTAATCCTAGCACTTTGGGAGGCTGAGGTGGGTGGATCACCTGAGATCAGGAGTTCGAGACCAGCCTGGCCAATATGGTGAGACCCTGTCTCTACTAAAAATACAAAAATTAGTGGGTTGTGGTGGTACACTCCTGTAATCCCAGCTACTTGGGAGGCTGAGGAAGGAGAATCACTTGAGTCCGGGAGGCAGAGGTTGCAGTGAGCTGAGATCACGCCACTGCACTCCAGCAATGGGAGCAAGACTCCATGTCAAAAAATAAATAAATAAATAAATAAATAGGGGAATGTTAGTGAGCAGACGGGGTTGAGAGGCAAGGCATCTGGCAAACTAAATGCCTTTGCACGCTAGGCACTGTGCTCGTCTCTGGGGTTGCAGGGGAGAAAGATGATCCAGTCCTTGCCTCAAGGAGCCCAGGTTCTGGTGAGGAGATCAGTCAATGCTAACTGGTGCCAATAGAACTGGCCACAGAGTCCAGGGGAGCACCGGGCAATACTTCCTCTGTCCAGCACTAGGGGTCGTTCTGGGAGCTTGGCTGCAAAGGGCAGTGGAGTGCATAGCTAGTAAGGGACATCAAGGGCAGAGGGCAGGTAGAGGGTGGAGGGGAAAGCAGGCTCTAGTTTCTGGCACCCTGCTTTTTTGGAACACCCAGCCCTGTCGGTTTAAAGTATGCTTTGGTTCTTGACCAAACCCAGCTTCAGTTTCTCTTCCTAGGAGAGTCCTTGGAGCGTGCTGCTGTTTAGAGCCCGTGACACAGACACTAGAACGCAGTAGGCTCTTAGTTGGCAGCAGGGTGGGTGCTGGTGCTTGCAATGGGATGATCATTTACTATCATTTGTAAGAGCCTGGAGCTCCTAGAACTGAGGATTCTAAGAGCCCTCACAGCACAGTGGTCTGGGGTTCAAGCCCAGGTTTTTAAGAAAGATCCATGACCTCTCTGGGGAGTCTTTGCCCCTCTGATGGAGGAGGGACCACCCTGCTTCTGGGGTTCATGGGTGTTCTCACTGTTCTGGTTTTCATGACTTTGAATTTCCAAGAAGGAGCAAAGGCCTCACCCTGGGAAGGCTTGGCTAGACCTCAGCGTACGGTCAGGACCTCTTTGGGGGCAAAAACAGGCTCTGACAGTGCCAGCAGACATGCATGAGATGGAAAACCTTTGCTCAATTGGGCCTGTGAGGCCAGGGAAGGACTGTTGCCACCAACTCTCCCCCTGCTTCAGCAGCCCCAGCCTGGCCTCACCCCCGCCCGATACATGAGTCATCCATGGGAACATGAGACAGGGCAAGTCTCAGCCAGGCAGCTGGGAGTCTGATGAGGTGGGGTGGGGAAGCCGAGGGAGAAGGGATGGGCTTGCTCTGGCTAGGGTAAGCTGGGGTTGGGAGCTAAGGCTTTAACAAGGGTGAGAATGGAGACCAGTGGGAAGAGCCAGAATGAGAGTCTGTGAGCTGGAATTGCCGCAGGAAGGAGTGGGGGCAGATGGACAGGGTGCTTTGGTGTGTAATCTTGAAGTCTGTTGGGGATGTATAGGCACCGTCAGCAGCTGTCCCACCAGAGCCAGGACCCGAGGACCTTGGCAAGACTGGCTGTGCAGGAACATACTGTGAGGCTGCGCAGAGAGCCTCAGTTTTACTTCCCTCAGTCTCCTGCCTCAGTGGGTCCACTGTGGTCCACTGAAGTTCTGCTAAAGCTGCCAGCGCTTTCCCCACTGCCATGGGAGGAGGCCAGCTCCTTGAAACGGTCTGCTGTCCACCATCAGGGCTATCTCTCTAGTGTCTGTTTCCACATGCTCCACACGCCCGGCCCCAGCATGCAATTCACCCCCATTCCAGGAGCAGGGAACGCTGCCTCACACTGTCAGGCCGATGTACCCCCACTCTTGCTACACACTTCTGTATCACTGGCTCAGCTCTCTCTCATGTCACCACCTCTGAGAAGCCTCCCTGACTGTCCTGCCTACAGGGCAGGCTGAGTAACTGCTCGCTTCTCTCTGTGCTGCCATACCTCCTCCATTAGTCACACTGCCTTGTGGTTGCTGGTTTAAGCATCTGCCTGTCCAACTAGACTGGTCAGTTTCTGGACTTGTTATTTGTATATTTCTGGTGCCTCAGAGTATCTGGCACATAGTAGATTCTAATACTAATAATGGGAAGTGGTATGTAGTGTTTACTCTGTGCCAGGTATTGATCCCGGAACTGTACAATTCTGGGTTTTTTTTTGGAGACAGGGTCTCATTTTGTCACCCAGGCTGGACTGCAGTGGCACGATCTCAGCTCACTGTAGCTTTGACCTCCTGCTGGGCTCCAGTGATCCTCCCACCTCAGCCACCTGAGTAGCTGAGACTACAGGCGTGCACCACCATGCTTGGCTAATTTTGTTACATTTTGTTTTGTTTTGTTTTGAGAGGGAATCTTGTTCTGTCACCGAGGCTGGAGTGCAGTGTTGCGATCTCAGCTCACTGCAACCTCCACCTCCCAGGTCCTGATTCAAGCAATTCTCGTGCCTCAGCCTCCCAACTAGCTGGGATTATAGGAGCGTGCCACCATGCCCAGCTAATTTTTGTATTTTTAGTAGAGATGGGGTTTCACCATGTTGCCCAGGCTGGTCTTGAACTCCTGACCTCGTAATCAGCCTGCCTCAGCCTCCCAAAGTGCTGGGATTACAGAGGTGAGCCACCACGCCTGGCCTGTGTTTTTTGTAGAGATAGAGTTTCACTATGTTGAACTCCTGGGCTCAAGCGATTCACCTGCCTCAGCTTTCCAAAGTGTTGGGATTACAGGTGTGAGCCAGCATGCCCAGCTTGTACAATTCTTAAATCATGTAATGTTTCAACAACCCTGTCAGGCAGGTGCGATTATCACGACTCCTATATTTTACATTAAGAAACTGAGGCCCAGAGAAGTTAAGTGACTGGTTCAGAGTCATACAGCAGCTAAGTGGTGGTCACAGTGGGACTCTACGTAAGTGCTCTTAACCCAACACCAAATCGATTCTTAGTGTTTGTGAGTGAATGAGTAAGTGAATGAACCCACCATTTTGCTGGGAGAAAGGAGGTCAGAAGAGAGAGAGCTGGTGAGGATTAAGCCCTGAGGAGTGGGGAGCATGAGAGGGCAGGGAAGGGAATGGGCTGCGGGCTGGGGATGGGGGCTTCATGGAGAGGATGACTGGAGCCAGGCCCTGAAACAGGGGTGGAGACTAACTGCAGGAAAGGACCCAGGGAGATGTCGCCTGGGCCCTATGCCTGCTCACGGGAGCTACGCCTAGGGTGGAAATAGCCTAGAAGAACAGATGGACTCCTGGTTAGGAAGCAGCAGTGAGAACTCGGGGGGAATAAAGTGTTTCAGGTTCAGAACCTTGTTGCTGCATTGGCCTGAGATGCTCTTTGTCTAAGGACCTGGGCACAGGGTCTGTAGGGACAAGTGGTCAAGGGATCAGCCGCTGTGACCTTGTGTGGCGGCAATCCTGGTCCCGGAGGCTTCGAGGCAACACTCATGCCCTGCTTGCTGGCTGACCAACCAT